CGTGCGCGTGCACGCACGCACGCACGCACGCACGCACGCACGCACGCACGCACGCACGCGGGCGCGATAATTCACGGGTTTAAATCACGGTCATTCCACTCGCGCACGACCTTGTTCGAGAACCGTATAAAAATCCGTATAGCGACGCAACAGTGAACATATAGTTTTCGTCACCATTCCCGCGTTGCATGACCGCTTTTGTGACCCCTCTATCCCCGCCCTTTCTCCACCCACTCCCTTTCCTGTTCTTAAACTCGATTCAGGAAAGCGGCGATATTTCTCTCTCTTTCTCTCTCTTTACAGAGGCGAGGTAAAACTTAGCTATGCAACTTGTGATACTTCAACTCTCGTCATCTTATTTTGTATTCTATTTTTATTTTATTTGATTTTATTTTCGCTATATATATTCTTTGAGTTTATACATATATTATTTTTTTTTCTTCTTTGTAATTAATTTTTTTTAATCGTGTTGTAAATTTTCTTTGTTCTTTATATCACTTTTACTTCAATTTCTTCGTTCTTAGAGGACAGTCCTAGAATGTTAATAAGTGCTCCCCTCTCCCTCTCTCCCTTTCTCTCTTTCTCTCTCAAGTGAAATCACTCTCGAGAAATCCTGTTCGCTCGAGCTTCTCTCATCGAGATAAGAGATTCTTTCAGATTCTTCTCTCAAATTCAAAGATTCTTCTTTCAAATATCCTTCCCTTTTTTCTTTTTTACATCTCTTGCTCAAAATCCCGTTACGATTCAGAATGGTTTCCCGGCGCAAAGCTGAAAGCTCCCGAGAAATTCACGCTGGCCAGCGCGATTGTGCTTACCATTCAAGCACCGTAATTTAAAAATAATGATTCGCAGCCACTTCTCGCGTCGCAGGCGCGATTGCACGACGCGTCAACGGAGACGCGATCGATCGGCTCGCTCGCTCGATCTCCAGCGGGAGACCTTTCTCGCTTCGATTCGCATTTGCAACGTTCACCTCGATAACAAAACCGGGTCGGGCGAGGGTGACTCACACCAACCGGCGAGCCACCGGCGAGCCTCGCGGTCGACGGACGCGACGAATTTTATTGTGTTCCTCGTCTCGGCCCGATTCGCAGTCACGGCAACGCGAATTGAAGGACGAAGGGCTGCCGATCGATAACGAAATCGATAATATAATAAAGAGTTACTTCACTCCGGATCCACCACAGTCGATAACGGTTCTTAGAGACACCTAGGAACTTCGGAGTAAAAGATTTCCCGTGGATTTGATCGAGGATAGTTCTTTCTTTTTTTTTTCTTTCGCTTTCTCTCTATACTTTTTTCGCTGTTATTCGAATGCAACGCGAGACGCGAAATTCCAAACGCGATGCACTCGCGAGACGCGCGCGAGAGATACTCGCCCCTTCGCCGGCGATTCGCTTGGAGAGACGGTCCGCTCGTCTCTCTCCCCTTTCGTCTTTTTTCTTTCTCCCTCTCCCTCTTTCTTTACTCTCCGTACCCTTTCTCTCGCACACTTATTTACTCTCCTTCTCCGTCGACTTGTCCCCCCCCCCTTCTCTTTCTCTCTCCCTCTTTGTCCTCAAGTTTTTCTCCCTTGTCTTTCTCTTTCGTTCCTCCCCCCCTGAAATTCAACTCTCTCTTCCTCCCTTCGTATCTGTCGATCGTCTCTTTTTTTTTTCTTTCCTTCTGTCGCAACGAGCGCGTGCCACGTAACAGCTCTATGGGTTTTAAGACGAGTAACTTCACGGTGCTCGCGTAAAGCACGCACTGAGGAAGAACGAGCTGCCGACGCGAGCAACGGACTGCAAGTCCGCGTTCGTCCGTTCACCAATTCAACCGCCGATCCACGCACCCACACGCACGCACGCGCGAGGTGGCGGAAGGGGAGAAATAAAGAGAAAAAGAGAAAGAGATCGGGTCCGGTCTATCGCAGAGAAAGAGAGAGCGAGAATGCCCGCGCGCGCGACAGAGAAAGAGAGAAATACAACGATCCGGTGGTGGAGGACGGTGAGGGTTGGAACGAAAGAAACAAGAAACAGGTAAGGCGAACGAGCCAGAACCAAGCCGGGGACGAACGCAAGGATCGAGACAGAGCTGTTGCTCCGACAATATCATTGACCCTCGTGACACTTATTGTGGAGTATCGATCGATGTTTAAGAATGCGATCATCGATAGAACGTATTAGGTATCAATTAGAATCATAAACGAAACGTGAGGGACATCGTAAAGCGATGCCGCAGTGCCAAGTGCATCATATTAATTATAGCGAATTCGATCATTTGTATTATATTAGATAATTAGTGCATTTTGGAAGCTATGCTATACATGAAATTTGCAAAGTTAAATGTAAAAGCGTAATATATGAATATTGGGAACGATTCAGTATCCGGTAATGATATTGTTATTAATATTGATATTATTTAATAGAATATATATGTATTATTTAATTGGCAAAGTTGACTATATCTAAATGCAAGATATTGCATTTAAATACTTTATAATAGAGTCTTTTTAACATTTGAACTACTATGTGTACCAAAAAAATACACAATTAACTTTTATAAGAAACTGTGTGTATCATTTTTAGGGGAAAAAAAAACACATTTATTTTAATAAAAAAAATAGTTTTGTTCATTTTTGTATATTTATTAAACTAAAATAAAGTTTTGTTTAACTATAGTGGGTTAGTTTTTCTGAATCAAATTAGTTTAAAAGTAGCTACAGTGTTAGGGTGCACTTATTTAAGATAATGCGATCGAATTCACTATTAGAATCGATATATGTATATCAAGATGTGTTCTTAGTCGACTGAACGATAGACTTTGAGATTCAAAATGAATTCTCAAATTGCTTTGCAATTTACTTGTAGTTACTTATAAGTACTAATTTAGTTTTGCTAATTTATTATAAGCGCCGATCGATGCGTGCTCCTTCTGAAATATCGATACCTACCGGAAAAAGAGCGTTTGACTGATATTTAAGAGACAGGAAAGATTGACAGGTATAGAAACGATAGAAAAGCGAAGAGAGATAAATTACATCGATGTAAATGTTCGCGTATTTTCTTTCGTACAGAATGGAAAAATGTCGGTATCTATTGTCACATCACGTACGATTCTATCGTCGCAACGCTAGAGATTGAAATTTTGTATTCATGTGCATCAAATTTCGAATTTATTGAGATTATATGTACAGATTTTCCGTATTTAAATAATTTGGAATGTCGCTCGATTTAATAACAGAGGAAATGATTACCGAGATTTTAACTTGTTGAATAATATCCGATAATTTAATTTTTGAATAACAATTGACTACATACTATAGAATTCTGGAAACCATCGCATCGCATTACCTTGTTATAAAAGCAAGGTAGAGAGAGAAGACGAAACAGAGAGAGAGAGAGAGAGAGAGAGAGAGAGAGAGAGAGAGAGAGAGAGAGAGAGAACGGATGCGAAGGCGGACATGGAAGCTCGAGATTGGTCAAGCCTCGCGTCCAGCCATGCCGTTTGCGGACAATCACTGGACCCTATCACAACTCAGGTGCGATCATAGCCATAAACTTACAGCCTACACGCGCGATTAAATGTAAGTGAGATTAATAAAATAGATATCTTAGAAAAGAAACGTAAAAGATTTTCAATAAAAACAAATTATTTGTTCAGAAAGGGTAAACAGATTTGTAATCCTTTATTTGATTAAAGGAACTATCATATATTACACTGTAAAACAAAAATTACTTTAATTACATAAAAATTACATTGAAAAATTTGCAGTTAAACTTGCAAAAAAGTTACATTAGTGTATTTTGTATTATAACTATAATATATAACGTTTTGGAGAAATTTTATTAGTCAATTAATGTTACGCTAGGACTTTGTCTTTAAAAGGAATTTTTGTTAATTATAGTTAAAAAATATTTGATAGATTCTTAATAGCCCACATAGGTTGTAACTTTGATGTAACAGATCTTATATTAATCATAAAAATATCTTTTTAAACATGGTACGTGGTTTATTAATATGCCAAAATACAAATATTAATTTGATAGAACAATTTGGTAAATAGAATTATATTCACTAATGCTAAAAAAAAGTATGAGGAACGATTACCTTTGTCCTTGTATATATTTTTATTGAATGATGTTATCATTGTACAAAATATTATAAAAATATTTTTTGAAGTTTTTCGAATTTTATCAAAATTACGTAGTCCACTGTGTAAGCTAAAACATGTGATTTTTTTCTACATATTTTACACATATTTAATATGTATATGTATACCTTATTATATATACAAAATAAAATTTTATTATAAATAAATTTTATTATATATGTAGTTACGAATGTGTAACAATAGTACATAAACTTGTACTATTGTCACATTCGTTCAAAATGGATACATTACAAGTTTTAACATCTTATTAATGTGTACATTTATCTTTCCTTGAAACCAATTCATCAAGTCTCCTTTCTAATAAGTCGGCGTCTAATCGATGTTTGCACAGATACTGACCTTCTAAAAAGAGGACTGGTATATCATATTTATACAACTGGAAATACTGTTCGTTTTCTTGTGCAGCTATGTCAACTTCTTCCAATTGGTAACGACCGGCGAAACGTAAACGCAGTTCGTTCTTTAAAATGTCGCAAAGCAGACATGGACTCTTTGTGTACAATGTTAATTTTGGTGGAGAAGATATCGGATGAGACCTAAAAATCATATAACATGCTTCCACTTTTGAGAGATCTCCTTTGAACATTACAGTTCAACATAAAAGTCAAGAAAATTAATCAAGTTACTGATGTAAAAGAATTTATTTCTATATATTCATACAACAAAATATATAATGCAACGAGACATGTGTTTTGAGTACAATACATACAATAAAATGTATAACAAAAATATATCATAAAAAATGTTTTTTTAAACATTTACTTTCATGTATTTGTTTGAAAGTCATTCTGTATGTACATACATTGTAGAAAAATGCAAAATGCTCTATAAAACAATAATCTTAAGTAAGAAAAGCTGAAACTTTTCAGTTACAGTATTTTAACAACTATTTAACAGTTATACGATACTTTAACAACACACTGTTTAGTATAAAAATAACTGCTTTTTTATATACGATTCATATTATCGATATTAAAAATAGATTTCCCGGTTTGTGTTAAATGGAAATGGCATCCATGATGATCTTCGAACTTACAATTTCTCAATCAGGATTGATGACGCTCCACCGCCTCCGTTGCAAATTGATGCGACGCCTTTTTCTCCAGCTTTAAGTGCATGCACCAAGTGTATTACGATACGTGCTCCTGACATGCTATAAGATTTATATTAATTTTATAATATGTATTAAGGCCCAGTTCTACAACTCATGGTTAACTCTTAACCGAGGTTCAACTTATTCATTGTCTCTTACTAATTTTAGAATTGGAAAGGGATGAGAAACAAATTGAACCTCGGTTAAGAGTTAACCGTGAAACTGGGCCTAAGGCGTACGAAATAATAAAATGTATCCAAATAACTCACCCTATGGGATGTCCAAGTGAAACGGCACCACCGTGAACATTTACCTTGGCAGGATCGATGTCAAGTAATTTCTGATTTGCCACAACCACCGCGCTAAATGCTTCATTAATTTCCCAAAGAGCTATATCGTTCTTATTAACTCCAGCATTTTGAAGCAGCTAAAGGCATGAAAACAAAAATTTTAGTATTTTCCTACTCTAGAAAAACTATTATATACCAGTAAAAAATTCACCGATGGCACTGCAAAAGCCGGTGCAATTGGAAAATCTATAGGATCCGTTGCCGCATCCTGAAAAGCGACAACCCTAGCCAAAGGCTTGAGATTCAGTTTTTGAGCAACATCACTGGTCATCAAGATTAAAGCAGCAGCACCATCATTTAGAGTAGACGCATTTCCAGCTGTCACTGTACCATTCTCTTTCTGGATATAATAAGAATACATATGTAGAGGAAGTGTATATTAGAGACAAAAACTTCAAATACAAATAAATTAGCAGAGTACAACTTTACCTGAAAAACTGTGTTCAATTTGCTAAACTTCTCGAAGTTGACTCTTTTATATTCCTCATCTGCAGTAAAACTTACATCCGGTTTACCCTTTTTTTGAGGGACGTTAACAGATACAAGTTCATCCTTAAATATATTATTATCATAAGCTGCTGCACTGCGTTTGTAACTACTAATGGCATATTCATCTTGTTGCTGACGAGTAATATTAAGTTTTTTAGCCGTATTTTCAGCACAGTTACCCATGTGACATTTATTGTAAACATCAGTCAATCCATCAAACACAATTCCATCCTGTTAAATTTTTTAATGTTGATCACTTATATAAATGTAAATGTATGGACAATTTTGTTTTATAACACATGATACATATATAGAAACTAATAGGAAAAATAAATACAGGGATTATTCAACCTCAAGTTTTACTCCACCATACGACGTTTCACCACGTGATAAATAATATGGCACATTGGACATAGATTCCATACCACCGGCTAAAACGATCTCTTGATGACCACATTGTAGAGACTGAGAAGCCAACATGACACTTTTCATGCCACTTGCACAAACTTTGTTTACTGTTGTACATATTGTTGACGTTGGAAGACCTAATAACAAATATATTAAATTTCATTAATATTTTATAGAGTGCTTTTCTTTTAGCAGACACAATCGATACAAACGTTACTCTACGTTCTTCTTAGCATTCAATGAATAACTAGTATAAAATAACATATGTGTCGATTATCTCCTAAAAGAAAAGTAGCCATAATAAATTTTGACATATTTTTCAATTTGTCAAAAAATTTTATTATTACAAAAATTAGTAAAATATGGCTAACTGTAAAAAAAATTGAATGCATTTTCAAGACCTGCAAATAATGCAGCCTGTCTCGCTGGTGCTTGACCCGAAAAAGCTTGACAAACATTGCCCATATATATCTCTTTAACTTGTTCTTTGGTAATACCAGCTCTTTCAATAGCTGCCTGAAGATATAATTTAATTATTGATCACTTATACCGTTATGTGATATTAATTATAAATATTAATTATATATTTCTGTATTAAATCCTTACTTGTACAGCTATTGCACCAAGCTTAGTAGCTGACATGCTTGATAGAGATCCAAGGAATGAACCCATTGGGGTACGCACAGCACTAACTATCACAACATCATTTAATTTGACCTTTGAACTATACAAACGCTTGCTCATAAAATTCATCTGAAAAAGAAATCATTTTTAAAGTTCCCTGTAAACTTTCAATTAAACTTAAAAAAATTATATCTTTTAAAACTATAAAAAATATGCGTTATACAAGTCATACTTAATAAATAATAATAAGTCACTTTATCTGATATATGATTGTAATGCAAAGTAGATTACATGTACAAAAATAATACAATATGCTTTGTAATTACAATTTAAAAAAAAATCAAAATATATTAAAAAGAAATTTTAATTAATCATTACTTACTTTAGCTAATCTCGTTACAGTCGCCATAATAAATAATAGATTTATTAAAATAGAAATATCTCAATGTGCAGTCGCTATCTCAGAGGCCCACTATCGTAAAACAAACGCAAAATGGTGTTTCTTGGTTAGGTGTATTCACCTTTGCCCTCTTGAGTCTTGTGACGTTTCTATATTGTCGAGAAGAGAAATATTTCATCTTCCTTTTTTTAATTTTTGCTTCAAAAGATATTTTAATACTCGTCGGTGATATTTTAATATCACCGACGAGATGCTATTAATTAAAGACGGCCGGCTATGGGCAATTTTCGTGACCATCAATAGGAAATGGGATCCCGAGGATACAGCAGAGAAAATTGAAGAATGAAAACATTATCGATAATTGATACAAATAATCAAATTCGAATGATAACATTAAAATTACAGTTTTAAATAAAAATCGAGTATTATTTTAAATTTTAACCATATATACACATCTACGAAACTAATAAATCATAAAATTAGTACAATATTATCAGTTTTTTTACTCTTAATCACTTCAATATTAACAAGGACGCGAACTCCCATAAGGATGTCGGTCTTTAATAATATCACCGACGAAATATTTTATTATTTATTAGTTTAGTAGACGTGTTTATCAGTGTACGTGCATTTAAAACTCAATAATACTCGATTTTTCTTAAAAATTGTGATTTCAGTGTTATCGTCAAAGTTCGATTATCAACAGAGATAATAACTGCAGAGAAAAAATTGTAATTTTTCAGCAATATATAGGATATTATAGCTTTACAAATATGTATATTTATTTATAGAGCATTTATGTAATAAAATATCATGAATTTAATAATGTATTAGTCAAATATTTATGTTAATAATGGCACATTTATATCAATTGTCGATAATGTCAGCGTTCTTCGATTATCTCCGGGCCCTTGGGGCCCTTTTTATATCGCCGAAAATTTACCCAGGGTTGACGGTCTTTAATAGTATCTCGTCGGTGACTTTACCAAGAAGTTGGAACAATCGGCCCTAAATCACTTAAATTTTAACAGTCAAGAGAACTTCCATATAAGCGCCGACCGTCTTTAATAGTATTTGATCGGTGGCGATATACAAGATATTATAGCATTAAAAGTATGCATACTTATTTATGTAGCATTTATATAATAAAAAATTATGAAATATACATTATTAAATTCATGATTTTTTTATTATATAAATGCTGCATAATTGATACAAATTTGCGATTTTTAACACAAATATATTTAGATAATACCTATTATCCAAATATATTTATATTAAATACGCTCGAAATAAGAACGGATTTGAATACCGCCCTATTTGGCGATACTGTCGATAAAATCGTAGTATCGAAAATGGATGAGGTGGGTGTCCATGCTAACAAGTGTTGCCAGTGCAGACTCTTTATTCGTAGAAAATAGCAAATACGCACTTTATTAATTATTATTTTTTACAGTGTTGAATCTACAGACTAATCGACACTATCATTTTATCGAAAATGTCATAAAATAGATATCAATTTTTCATATCGTTAAAGTGGACGTTGATTCGCTGATCTATGGAATTATGACCTTTATGATACTTTTGATGAGTTCTGTAAGACACGAAAAAGGCTGGAGCCTGGAATGCTCTCAGTGGATGTCAGCTCACAGCATTTGACAACACTCAGCAGCACTCAGCAGCGAGTTTTTGGGCTTCTCTTCGAAATTATTGAGTGTTTACCCGATCAGTGGTTGGTTTTCTCCAGTTTTCTTTGATAAATACAGTCTATGCATTTTTTTTGTATGTTGGGTCCCTAAATCGATAGTCGTAATTATTTGACTTGTGTTACGTGTTCGAGGCGTGTTCAACAATTCAGCAAATTGTCATTATAAAGACTTGTTAAAATTCAGCGATATCACTTCCTGAATTAGTCTACATTTTAATCAGTTGATAAATTTAAAAATTTACCAAGTTGATTTACTATGAGTTTCCTTATCAGTGCAGACAATAATCTGACTCGACGAGAATGAACGTCGAAGAAAACAGGCTCAGGACGTTTCGTGGCAAGTGGCCGGCCAACGCCGCTGTCGATCCAACGCGTCTCGCGAAAGCGGGATTCTATTACACCGGACATGACCTAGAGGTTCAATGTTTTTTTTGTGGCACGAGGATATCCGACTGGAATTATGGTGATCATGCTATGGTTCGTCATCGAACGAAAGCGCCCAAATGTCCTTTCGTCCTTGCACCGACCAAC